AATAAAATAATAAAATAAAAACATTCTGTGGAAGCCCAAAAATGTGGGCCCATTTCTACCTATCTGATGGTCAGAGAGTTGGAGTCGCTCAAATGATTGACAAGAGTAGTTGTGCATCTGGAACTCAGGATGTGATTGCTTGACTCTTTGAACATTAAAATAGCTCTTACAAGTAGGTCCATGCCATCTGACAGATGGTCAGGATATGCAAATGTACTTCCGCTCCTTGTGTAACTATGAGGTTATCTGGGGAGTGGTTTCCTTATCTCTAAAGTGGGGTAGTAAAAGTGGATTTTCTTCTTTATTTATGTTTCAACGTGGTTTCTTGTAGCTCAGGCTGCCCTCGTACTAGATACATAGTTCAAGTAGCCTTGAATCCCTGCTTCTCTTTGTTTCTACCTCCTAAGGGGTTAGCTCTACCACTGTGCCCAGCACAGATTTTAATTAAGTAAAATCCTATGAGTTTTTGTAGAAGACTTATAACACCTACCTAGTAACTTTACCTTCAGGGGAGATTTCACAAATTACCACGGACCGGCTCAGGGGAGCCACTCAGACCGTGGGAGAAGCAGGGTGAAGGCTCAGGAGAATTCAGGAATCGGCGAGGAAATGACAGACAGACACATTTAATGTGGTTGAATATGCTGCTGCGACTTTTACTTTTTTCAGCACAAGATTTATATTCTTTTACAATCAAAAAACTTGGCAAAGACATACATCATCAGATCATAAAAAAAGAACAGCATAAAACAGTTTACAAAGAGAATCTTTGAAAATGCTTTGACTTGGGAACAAGGACTTTTGATCCATGCTTTGACTTGGGTACAAGGACTTTTGCTCAGTCTGTACCAGGTGACTGACTGGGCTAAGTGACTTTGTGCTCAGAATATCTTGGGTGGGAGAGGGAAAGGCCACTATCTTCCTGGGAAAACTTTCTGCTAGGAAATTTCATGATCTCAAGCTTCTCTGAAACTCATCTTACACCATTAATCTCAACTCTCCTCCCTCCCTGACTCTCAGGCTCAGATGTTGTTATCAGTCCTGTTTTTTTTCTGGCCATAAGGAAGGCTTCATAGGCCTCCTGTTTGCAACTGCACGTATCTCCCCAGGCAGATGCCTAGTGGGGACTGCTGCAATTGTTTTCTGCAGAAGGCTTCTAAGGTTTCTCTTAGTAAGATTAACTCCTTTTGCTCCACATCATTAAGGAATTATCCTAACAATGACCCCCAATTCCCAGAACTGGCTACTTCTTTAAAGGCTTTAATGAATGGTGGGGCAGAGCTCAAAATGTCCTCAGCAGTCTTGTTTGTATCTGCAACTTTCTGAAATAGTCTGATCTGTTGGTAAGACGCAAGGATCGCACAGAACAGAAAGACAAGGAAAAGACAGACATATCGGCGCCAAGGGTAGCGAGATCGAGTCAGTACAAATGGCGACTCAAGTGGCATCATGACCACAGCTGATTGCCAAGGGACAGCCTGGGGCAACAACTCCGTGGAGCACTAGCCCCAACCCTATGGCAACAGTCCGCCCAGTCAACATTTCTGCTACACCGGCGTGACAGCCGTGGATGTGGCAACAAATAGTTTCAATTTTAATATGTTTAGATTTCTGTGTTAATTACTACTATAGCTCATTTCATTTTAAGAATGTAAAAGATTTTATTTTTATTGCACGTTGATGTGTGTGGATATGTGCGTGTTAGTGCAGGTGTCTGCGGAGACCAGAAGAAAGTGCCAGATCTCCTGTGTTCTGCCTGATGTGTGTGCTGAGTACTGAACCCTGGTCCTTGGGAAGAACAGTCAGTGCTCTTAACCACTGAGCCATCTCTCCAGTCCCAACAACTGTAGCTAGTTTAAAAAAAATTTTGGGTGTACGTGTGCACACAACATGCCATGTAGTATGGAGGTCAGACAACAGCCTGAGGGAGTTGAGCCATCTTACCAGCTCTCTCTCCAAGTGTGGGTGTGTGCGCGCGCGTGCACGTGCGCGGGCATGCATGAATGAGCCTACAGAGGTTATAAGAAGATGACAGATCTCCTGGAGCTGGAGCTACTATGTAGGTGCTGGGAACCAAACCCAGATCCTCTACAAGAGCAGTAAAGTTCTTATCGTTTGTGGCCTCTCTCTAGCACCTGAAATCTTGATATTGAAGTTTAAACAAAAACTCTTGTCTTCATTAGGGTTTCTATCACTGTGAAGAAACACCATGACTACAGCAACACTTATAAAGGAAATCATTTAGTTTGGGTGCCTTACAGTTGCAGAGGTCCTGTCCATTGTCATCATGGTAGAGTATAGTAGCTTGCAGGTAGACACAGTGCTGGAGAGGTAGCTGAGAGTTCTATGTCTTTGTCCACAGGCAACAGGAAGTGAACTGTCTGCCATACCTTCTCCAACAAGGCCACACCTCCTAATAGTGCCACCCCCTACGATCTTATGGGGGCCAATTACATTCAGACTACCACAACGATCTCCTTCAATTTTGTACCCTACTTTGGAAAATATCCCAACGTAGATTTTGTGTTTTGTATTTTTAAGTTTTATGTTTACAAAACTGAAATACATTGCGTGCAATATATGTTTCCTGGGGGCTAGAGAGATAACTCAGAGGTCAAGAGCACTTGCTGTTCTTGCCAGGACCTACGTTTGGTTCCTAGTATCCGTATGGCAGCTCACAGTTGCCTGTAACTCCAGTTCTAGGGGATCTGATGTTCTCTTTTGAACTGCATGAGCACCAGGCACACATGTGGTACACAGGCTTATGCAGGCTAAGTACTCATGAAAGTGAGAGTAAATAAGCCAGAAAAAAAAGCCTGAATAAAACTGCAAAGAGAAAACCTGACTCAAAAAAAATTAGAGAGACAAGTACTGATTAGGCCAGTGTATTTTTCAGCCTGTAGGTTGTGATCCCTTTGAGGGTTGCATATCAGATATTACATTATGATACATAACAGTAACAGCATTACAGTTAATAATCCCAGATCCAGTGGTTCTCAACCTCCTAATGGTGGTGTGACCCTCAACCATAAAATTACTTTGTTGCTTTTTTTTTTTTGTACACCAGGCTGGCCTTGAACTCAGAGATCTGCCTGCCTCTGCCTCCTGAGTGCTGGGACTAAAGGCATGCGCCACCACTGCCCTGCTGGCCGTGTGTGTTTGAACTGGGCCCTTCTTTGCCCTGTGCCACATCAGCTGCTTAGACTTGTCGTGTTCTGAAGCAAGTTGGAGCCTCACAGGTGGAAATGAGTACTCCCAGCAGGAAAGCAGGAAAGCATTGTTGTTGCCTGAAAAATGCAATACCCAGTCCGCTGCTGCTCTTTGTGGAAAAGGACAAAGAGGAGGAGGTATTTGGTAGCTCTTGCCCACGTCTCCCTTTCCCTCTGCTTTTAGTTTCCACTTTTCTCCTCTTTGTCCTAGAACGCCACCCTTCAGGCTACCCATCCACCCACCAAGTTGTATGGGTCACATGTCCTCCTTTCTCTTTTGTTCTCAGGTCATGGAAACACAAATTTCAACTGCATCAAGGCGCAATGTTACACCAAATTGGAGAAGTGGTTCTCAGCTTCAGGCCAGACTTGAGTCATAGTTGCGGTGACCACGGGATGTCAAGGCAGTGCGTGGTAGACACGATCTGAAGTGCTCCCATCAGAACTTTTATTGTTAGATTGGAAGCATGTTTCCTTAACTGGCTTGTAGGGATTTGATGCCTATTTTGGTAGAATCCTGTGAATACATCCTTAAAGAATTGCCACCATGTGGTTATTGGGAATTGAACTCAGGATCTCTGGAAGAGCAGCTAGTGCTCTTGATCTCCGAGCCATCTCTCCAGCTCCCAACTGGACAGTTTTTTTTAATAGCATGAATTCACCAAGGAAGTAGAAGATAGAAGAGAGGAGTGAGTAAGTCATGCGGGAGGATTTGGGCTGAAATGATTTAGTTTGTCACAATGTCCCCAAGAAGACTTTCTTCAGGTTATATAATGTCCTACTTCATCATGGCCATGCATTCCCTTCACAAGCCAGTGTCCAAACCAGCCGCTGGCCAAGACTGACCTGGACACCTTTATCAGGATGCAAACAGATATCTGAGGCCTGTCTGTGGCTACCAGGCTGCGAAGAGATTGTCTCTGTGGACATTGCTATGGCTTTTTATGCAGATAAAGACAGAATGTGGCTACACCACTAATCTGCTCTGCTGAGCCCCTCCTCCTGTGGACTCTTCCTCCTCACACGTCTGCTGCAGTCTGTTTCCCACAACGAAACTATCACCCTATTCTACAACAGAGGCACGGCCATTGGAGCCAGTGTGGAGTGTGTCAAGGAACAAGTCTTTGAAAGTTCCCTCCTTGCGGGGCAGTGGTGATGCTCACCTTTAATCCCAGCACTCAGGAGGCAGAGGCAGGAGGATCTATGTGAGTTCAAGGTTATCCTGTTCTACAGAGCAGGTTCCGGGACAGCTAACCAACAATAAAAAAAATGTCAAAACGTTGACTTTTCTGGCGCTGGAGTAGCACTCAGAACTTGTGCTTGTGACAGTAGCCCTCTCTTACCAGGCGACTTCTCCAGAAGTTCTTTTGGAACAATCTCTGTGTGTCCCAAACTTCCCCCATTGCTGTCCCTGCTCAGGGAATCTCTCTGGAACAAGCACTCTGCCAATGTAGAAACTGGGAGAGAGGTGATGTCACTGGTGGACCAAAGCTGGGATAACTCCTGAAAGACTTTGGGCCAGGTCTAGAGGTCTAATTTTTATTCAAATTTTATATTTAAAGCCACAAGGTGGGGCAGGCAAGCAAGCAAGACTTTATAGTTGTCTACACAGTTAACGGCAATGGCCCGTTGTTTCAACTTTTCCTCTAGGTCACTCTGTTCCTGGAGCAAGTGAAGTCATGCTTGGCAAATAGGCAGTACAGCTGGTGCTTTAAGTAAATAAATCAATAAAGCAATACCTAACAACTGTTTTTTTTTCCTATCTGATTCTATTTCAACCTAGCTTGGGATTCTAGGCAACTTTCTTCTTTTTCTTTTTCTTGAGAAGAACTGTCTATGGAGCTGAGGATAGTTCCTTAATTCCAGATCAAATGGTATCAACTCTCAGTTAATAGCATGGAGGCAGAGTCAGCATGACAGGTAAGGGTACTAACATATCCCAACAGATCCCTGGTCCCTGTGTAGATCAGGCTGGCCTGGTTTCACAGAAATCTACCTGCCACCATCTTCCTAGTACTGGGGTTAAAGGCACAAGATACTAACAGATACCAAAGCTTTCAATATATCCTATAAAGTCTATTAGAAATGACCCTAATGTAGGACCAACAAAGAATATTTCTTTTAAGTAATCAGTGTGTTGTGTAAAAAAAGAGGTATGGTTTTACATGTCTATCAGAGATAAAGTCAAGAGGATCTGATGTTCAAGGTTATTCTCTCTATATATGAAGGTCTAGATCAGCCTGGGCTACAGACCTGGTCAAAAAAAAAAAAAAAAAACAAAAGCAAAAATACAATAGCAAATAAATTGTAAGATCACTTAAGGAAAGAGGCAAATCCCGAGGAAGCAGCTTAGTTCCAAGAGTGGACAGCATTAATCTAATAACTGTTTCAGCCATGAATTGTAATACGCTCTGCCCATCACTCTCTTGGTCTCTGGATGGAGTGAAGTCATTCCTGAAAGACAGCCCAGGTTCTGAGGATAGAACTCCTTGCCAGCTGTTCCGGAACCAAAGAACTCCAATTTTTTTCTTCAGTGAGGCAGGAGAGCCAGTTCAGAATGGCTATTGCTGTTAGTACACATGAGCTCCAACATGCATTTCCTTTAAAAAAAAAAAATTAGTAAAGGCACAGACTGATCTCAGACAGTACTCAGGAAAATGAAACAAAAACCCCTCAGCTGAAATCCTGGAAACACTTCAACACTTGAACGCCTGTCACCTACCAATTTCTAGCTTTGGAGGCTTGGGAGAGGAGTTCTGAGGGGGAAGCGGGTCCTTCGGTGTGAGAGACCAAGACTGTACCATTAGCACAGTCTGTGACAACTGGTATCGTTAGCATCTGCCTTACTGTTACTCTGGAGAGTGAGGTTCTTTGGAAGAGAGCGACTAAGACTGGAAACATAAGCTTTGTTCTTTAGGGAAGGAATATTTGGAACCAGCAGTTAAGGTCTAGCGACCACTCAAAATAAATGATATTTAAAAGTCCACACAAACCCCCAAATTTTCAGATAAGGAAGCCTATGACCCTGAATAGGTACTTCTTTCAAGAGAGTAAACAAGATGTTTTCTGTTTTTCCTCTCTCCCTCCCTCCCTCCTTTCCTTTTTCTTTCTTTTCTTTTTTCAAGTTTACTAACCAGGCCCTTTAAAACAGTGGTTGCATTTTTTTGTGTGCTTTGCTGCCCTCTAGCGTCCAACTGAAGTCTCAAACTGGGTTCAGAAATCCTCACCTTCCACAAAGTTACTCTGGTATCTAAAGAAATGCTCAATGGCAGGGTGGTGGTGGTGCCTGCCTTTAATCCCAGCTACTGTTTTGTTCTGTTCTGACCTTGTTTTGACACAGGGTCTTGCTTATATTGTCCGGGTTGACTCCCATATCACAGTTTAGTCTAGGCTGGAAGTACTAATGACCATCTTGGCTCTGCCTCTGGAGCACTGTGTAGCCAGACACTCACCACTATGAGGATGTAGTCCTCTCCCTTCCTTCCTTCCTCTCCTCTTCTTTAAAAAAAAAAAAAAAAGCTATTGGCAGTCGGTGGTTGCTGAAAGGGGAGAGTTATTTCTCTTGCACGCATGGCCACTGATAGGCTGCCCATGCTCCCGTGGCTGGCGCTATACAAGCACGCACACTGATAAGCTAAATGGTGGGAAAAGACAGAAAGTGAAGTTGAAGGGGGATGAGTGGGAGTGGGTTCAGGGGGAGTAGGAGTAGGGAAATGGGAAATAGACACAATCCAAACACATTGCGTATGTGTATGAAGTTCTCAAGGAATAAATGAAAAGGTTAAATAAGGTTTTCCTTAATGACTAATCCTTATACAAAAGAGTCGATTTCATGAAGACCTCAAAATATTACATATGTATCTAATAAGCAACCTAATTTACGTCTCCACGTATCCTCTCCTGTTGGCCTTCCTTTCTCGTCCTGGTCGTCTTTCTTGTTCTGGACTATCCCCATTCTGTTCATATGGTGTGTGTGTGTGTGTGTGTCTATGTGTGTTTGCGAGTATGCACTATGTAACCATCCCTTCCCCCAGTGCTGGGATGCCAGGCTTGCACCACGGTGAGATGCCATATTTATTATATTTAAATCAAACTGTAGTCCTAGTTTACACTTAGGACTTAACTAACATGGATTTAATTGCTGTTCATTTAAGTACTTTATCGAGCAAATTTTCCTCTAGGAATTTCCTCTGATATTTGTAGTTTTCTGAAGATTAATCTGTTAATATTTGTTTTATTAAAGTCGCATTTGGGGACACGATTCAAGGCTTCGGTTTTGTAATCTAGGCTCTGATCTCTTAGTTTGTTAATAGTATAAAGAATGAATGTTTATGGCAGGGCCTGGTGGCCCAGGGCTCGATTCCCAGCACAGGGTCAATGAAGATGGTGATCTCTGTGAGTTTGAGACTACACAGTGAGATCTAGGCCAGCAAGGAACTACATGAGACCTAAGCAAAAGTAAAATAACATCATCCAGGCGGCGGTGGAGCACGCCTTTAATCCCAGCACTTGGGAGGCAGAGGCAGGTAGATCTATGTGAGTTTCAGTTCAACCTGGTCTACAAAGCGAGTTCCAGGATAGCCTCCAAAGCTACATAGAGAAACCCCGTCTGGGGGCGGGGGGAGATAGCATCACATTTAAGCAATATATCATATCATGTGCAGCCATTGCCTCTAAAGATCCTTCATTATCTCATTTGCATAAGAAGGCCTTTTAGACCGTGACTCTGCTGCTGCAGGTGTTGACCAATGAGTCACTTTGAGATCAACGGATTGTGACAGTGGCTTGTGCTGTAAATCCTCAGGATCCTTTTCAGGCTCCCTAGTGAGATACACTGTGGTCCCTCTTGGCAGATCAGGTCCTTTCCTGATGACAGCTGTTGGAAGCTGCAGGGGCTGCAATAGGGTGAAGAGTCAGCCTGTACAGACCTCACAAAATTCCTTACATGTGCAGAGGGTGGTGGTCTCTGACTTTAGAGGGAAAAAGTCCGAGGTTAGTGAGGGAACAAGATAGGATAAAAGACAGAAATTTTTTTCCCCCAGGAACTCACTAGTCCTCGCTGGCCTTGTACTCATGAGATCCACCTGCCTCTGCCCCCTGAGCACTGGGATTAAAGGCATGCCCCACCATGCTCAGCCACTAAGGAAGGAGTTTAAAAGGCCTATCACTATTTCACACTACCTAGATGGTTTCTGGAAGCTGCTGTGATCTTCCAGGGTGAATCAAACCCTGTGGTTGAAAGGTCTGAGAGCCCACTTTGTATGCCAAGGGACAAAAGGGGAATGGGGGGGGGGATGAAAGAGATAAGGAAAGCAGCCAGGTAGTGGTGGCACACGCCTTTAAATCCAGCATTCGGGAGGCAGAGATAGGAGGATTTCTGTGAGTTTAAGACCAACCTGGTCTACATAAGGAGTTCCAGGCCAGCCAGCGATAAACAGAGAAACCCTGTCTCGAAAACAAAACAAAACAAACAAACAAACAACAACAATAACAAAATTAGACAAATAAGAAAAATGAAAAGCAGGCAGCTAAAGATGGCGGTGCACAACAAGTCAAATCCTAAGAACTGGCAGTTGTAGGTTGACAAGAAAACTTGAATCTTTCTTCCTAAACATAAATATGTCTTCCAGACCGGGTGGTGGTGGGTGGTGGTGGCACACACCTTTAATCCCAGCACTTGGGAGGCAGAAGCAGGCGGATCTCTGAGGTTGAGACCAGCCTGGTCTACAGAGTGAGTTCCAGGACAGCCAGGGCTACAGACAAATCCTGCCTAGAAAACGAAACAAAACAAAACAAAAATCCTCAAAATCCGGAGGCGAAGGCTCATGTTTATAATCTTAGTACTAGGGAGGCTGAGATAGAAGCATCAAAATGCAATTCCAGCCTGTACTATCTAAAGAGTTCCAGACCAGTCGGAGCCACTGAAAACCCCACCTCCACACAATAAAACAAATGAATGAACAGAAAGCTCTCCTGTAAAGTATTTTAATGAAGCAAGACCACAAAAATCTGTTCGAAATTGGATAGAGAGGATGTCCTGAAACAGAGCTCACAAGGATGCTTGGGAAGTATCTCAGGACTGGGCATCCTGGGTTCCAGACCAGCACCAGAAACAAGTGACAAAGAAGAAAATGTTTTATTGCTGGGCATGAGCTGTCCGTGGAGGGTCAGGAAGGAGACGGCAAGCTTGAGTATAGCCTGCCGCATTTAGGCAAACCTCGGTTAACAAAAAACAAAAACAAGCAAATCGCATTAATCTACAAAATTGCCAATGGCACGTCAGGGAGTTGCGCCCTGCTTCCCCAATACACTGTGATAACACAAGGACCCCAGCTTTCTTCGAGGGTACTCTTGAAGTCCTTAGTTTCCTGTTAGCTTCTGTCAAGATGGAGGGTGTAATTCTTTTTTTTTTTTTACCTTGGTTTTTTCGAGACAGGGTTTCTCTGTAGCTTTGGAACCTGTCCTGGAACTAGCTCTTTTAGACCAGGCTGGCTTCGAACTCACAGAGATCCACCTGCCTTTGCCTCCCGAGTGCTGGGATTAAAGGCGTGCACCACCACCGCCCGGCTGTAATTCTTTACTATTAGAATTTTTGATATTATAAATAAAAAAATTTAAGTTCTTGGACAAAGTCTGCACTTCAAGTGAAGACTAAATAAGTTATCTAGTTATAGTCACGGGCAGTGATTAAATGGATTTTGAAGGGAGAAACTACAGATATTAGGGCCTTTGCAAAGGGAAGTCAAAGATGACCCCTTGGGCATGAATATACATTTACACATGAGTTCAGGCATAGGGGCATAGGGCCTTCTTTGCATTGTGCTTTTCAGGACACAGGAAAAAGCGCTCTCAGCAAGCAAGCATGAAGGCCTGTGCCTGGTGCTTTCACAGCCCACTGGTGTTCTACACGGACAAGGACCAGAAGGAGCACACATTTGTTAGGTGGTCACTGCCCGCATCTCCCATTCCTTCTCTTGCCTGTCTATCTTAGGCTTCAGGCTTCAAGGTTTCCTGTCCACCCCAAGTGCTGGTGGTTCACAAGCTTTTTCCTCCTCTGTGCCAAGACCCTGAGAACAAATACCTTCACTGTATAGAGGTTCATAGCAACACCCTCATTCAGCTAGAGGGGGGTTCACAGCCTCAGGCCAGACTCGACTCACAAGTGGGACCGCTTAAGAAAAGGTTATTGGTTCCGGGGCATTTGCCTCCATCGGCAGTTACATGGCGTCTCTCTGACTCTGCCTTTTTTTCCTCCTCTATCTCTGCTTGGAATTCCTGCCTTGCTCTACTCTGCCTGCCAGAAGCCCAAAGCACCTTCTTTCTTAACCAACGGTAACAAAGCATTCACAGCACACAGAGGGAACTCCCACATCACCTTAACATGCAATGTCTTTGATGTTGATCTCTTTTCTTTGTCTACACTAATCCACCCTACGAGTGGGTTCTCTGTGCAAAATAGTTTCCAAAATTTGGGAAGGCTACACTGTCTCCCAGGATTCACAGCCCAGGGATGGGGTTGGAAACAAGATTTAAAATGCTTCTCTCATATCAAAAGTCACGTAGGCCATTCCCTGAGTGAAAATATGAGTTCTACAGAGAACTCAGGAGGCTTAAGATTATCCTACTCTGGGGTTGGAGAGATGGCTTAGTGGTTATGAGCAATGGCTGCTCTTCCAAAGGACCAGGGTTCAATTCCCAGCAATCACAAGACAGCTCACAACTGTCTGGATTTCCAGTTCCAAGGGATCTGGCACCCTCACACAAACATACATACAGGCAGAACACCAATGTACCTAAAATTAAAATAAATCGTTTAATAAAAAAGATTATCCTACTCTTAAAACATAGGCAGGGGACCCGGGCATTGGTGGCACATGCCTTTAATCCCAGCACTTGGGAGGCAGAGGCAGGCAGATCTCTAGTTCCAGGACAGGCTACAAAACTACAGAGAAACCTCTATCTATCTATCTATCTATCTATCTATCTATCTATCTATCTATCTATCTATCTATCTA